TACGTGAAGCCGTTTTTTGTTAACGCAACTCCTCCCTTATTTGTGGACCAATTTCAACGTTTAAGGTGTCAAAAGGTTCCTCTCAATATGTAGTTTTGCAATAAGGTTTTAGAATTTTAAAATTCCTACTCTTAAGGGCGTGAGACCCTCTTAAAGGTCGGAGTTTCCCCATAAGAAATACATAGAACAAATTTAAGAACAAAAAACAGCTGTTTATAAAAAGAAACTCATGAGCTTTTTGGGAGTAAACATTAATGTTTGTAATATAGTAGGTTAAGTAAAAACCAAGTTAAACAGTTAATCAGTTTTGTTGGAAGAACAGAAAATGCTTCAAGTTCAAAGAAGAAATGTTGAAAACGGGAGGATGAGACAATTAATCATAAGATATCTTATGCGTATGAGGAGAGTAGAAAAAGAGAGGCCTGGTGTAACAGTAACAGATACCCATCCCGGTACACATTCACTTGGTGAGATGAATAATATTTTCCAGCTCTGCTATGCTTTTGGAAGTTACAACTTACTTTGGAAGTGAGGCAAATAATATATGCTGTTCAAAAAGAGAAAATGAAAATTGTTATCCAAATCTTATAGCTACAAGAGTTATCCAACCTATTTCGACAAATGAATCCATACTTTCAAAACTTTTGGACTATTAAGAGAAACTCCACTGAACAACGTGAGAACGTCCTGCTGCGGGGCATATATACTGTGACTATATAACAGACCACACATTAAAATACGTTAACCAACTTTCAATGGTGTTACTGCATCAGCCTATTCAAAGCAGATTATGGATGTCCAGCTGGTAATCCAGAGTTTGTGTGTAAAAGATTAAGCACATGAAATGGTTGACACTGTATCATCCCATTTTACAGGATTCTCTACGGAGAAAATTCGTTTTATTAGGGGATGTCTCAAATCAAAGGAATAAAATTACCCAAACACAGGTTATCAGTAAGGCAACAGTTTTCTCAATGCTGGAAAAACTTTGTAGCATCATGACGTTAACTTGAATTGAAGCAGATCGTTCAGCATTCATTAGAAGTTAGTTATCAGTTAAAACTGAGAGCAGGAATATTGTATGTGAACCTTGACAACACAAATACAGATATTTAAAATTAGTTTCAAACAAGTGTTTAAACAACTCTAAGATGTAACTAGAATTACTCGAAATTAAGCATAACGTTTTCCTCGGCGTTATTTTTCATACTATGCGGCTCATTGAGCCGCACGGGTTCTCTAGTGTATTCTAATATCCGACCAAGAGGTTTCAAACCAGAACTTATTTTATCGAAGAAGTATATGAGAAATTACACCCAACAGAACTGCATTATACCTGCCCAGTAAGCTGCAGTTAATCTACACAAAGTACACTACCCAACTAACTTCGCCTGTCGCCGTGATTTGGCCTGCTAGAATTGGTTCACAGTGTTCTCATATTGGATTGTACTATTCTTAAATATGATTTCACATCCTCTATTAAGAAACTATGAATACTATTTAAATACAAGTTTTAAATTGGCTACAGTATTCATTGAATTTGAATTACATTACTGTAATTACAAATGCGTAACGTTTTACTAAGATAAACTAATATTCAACTACCTTTCAAGCTTTGACTATTGGAAATAGTCAATTCATTCAAGTTGCCAATGATTTAGCTGGGTTTAAATGAATTATAACATTAAATGTGGAAGAATTAGATAATAAGAATGTGGTCAAAAGCCAGCATCAGACTCTGCTTTATTAAGGTCAATTCACAGACATCAGTCCAGTCACCTTTCCGTCAAAGTCCAGTGTCAGTTGCATCTGAAATTCCTCAGTCAACTGATTTCAGTCAGTTATCCATCACCTTATTTTACAGTGAGGTTATAGTTAAGAACTTTTGGTACTTTGGTATTATCCGGAGGTCACCCTTAACAGCATGCTGCGGCAGTTATGTTAGGTTGGGTAAATAAATATGTTTGTAGGACTTTTATCATTTTGTTATTAATTGAACGATACCAGATGAGTCACACCAAATTGCCTTCAAGTAGGCCAAGGTCAGGTCGTTGACCGGAGCTTGCGCATTAACTGTCACCGCCTGTATCTGGGGTATTTGGCGGGCGTAAGTATGACTCATCCGGTATCATTCGATTCATAACGAAATGAGGAAAGTCCTACAAACATATTTATGATAACCCAACCTAACATAACCGCCGCAGCGCGCTGTATACCTACTAGGCATATCTGGGGTTTTTGGCGGGCAAAAGTACGACTCATCTGGTATCATTTGATTCATAAAGAAACGAGGAAAGTCCTACAAACATATTTATGATAACCCAACCTAACATAACCGCCGCAGCGCGCTGTATACCTACTAGGCGTATCTGGGGTTTTTGGCGGGGAAAAGTACGACTCATCTGGTATCATTTGATTCATAACGAAACGAGGAAAGTCCTACAAACATATTTATGATAACCCAACCTAACATAACCGCCGCAGCGCGCTGTATACCTACTAGGCGTATCTGGGGTTTTTGGCGGGGAAAAGTACGACTCATCTGGTATCATTTGATTCATAACGAAACGAGGAAAGTCCTACAAACATATTCATGATAACCCAACCTAACATAACTGCCGCAGCGCGATCTATACCTACTTGGCGAAGTATAGCGGCGACGACGCATTCAACTCAATCCTCGCTGACGTCACTGCCTTCTGGGAGGCAGATCTCAAAGTCTGCTTATAGTAATCATGTCAAATTTGGACAGTAAGTCAATTAAGTATATTCTTTCCAATTATGTAGTTTTTTTGGTCTTTGGTTAAAAAAATCTCTCTAAAATAAGTGGCCTCCGGATAATACTAATGTACTGAATTGTTCTATTAAAAACAATGTTCTATCAATTTTTTACCATCCATCTTGATATAAAATATAAAACACAATTATTTAACTAAAAAGTTACTGATTTTTAAATGTCAAACACATACATAACACGACTGTCAGCATCTGTCAGGCATCCGAACAATCCATAAATAGCGGTGGAAAGAAATCTGAAATTGATTGACGGACGCCGGGAGAGCGACTGACGGTCCTGCGTCTGAACTGAGCCGGATGAGTGTAGATAGCACAAGAGAAAAGACATTAATGAATAAATTTATTGACTGTGATGCGAGTGAACTGTGACGTGCCATGGCTGATGGGTGTGAAGTGAATCCACCTTTATGCCTGAAATCGTCTGTTGTATGCCAATCTTCCCTACTTTTTACAACATACAAAAAAAATAGCCACTTAAACGATCTCAGATTTTAGGTTAGAGATTGTATTTATTCCTACAATTTCCCACAAGTGTAGCCTATAGACTACAATGAATTTGGTTGAATGATTTACAATACAAATTATTTAAATTCCCCTTTAATATATAATAGTTTCTCCCCCCTGGTAACAAGTTTTATCGTATGAGTTATTTAGTAGGTGGTCTCTTTCTTGCATTATGTTCATTTGGGCCTCAGGCCATTTATACAATATTCAAACATAGGCCTGTTTATTTATTTTTATGTAGGCAAATTGAACTGTGTCAATATATTTTCTAAAACGAATATTGAAAAATAAAAATAATCAATGACATGGAGGGTGAAATACAAAGTAACAGAAGACAACAAAATAATGATAAATTAATGGCTTTGTTTTGTTTAATAACCTATGTAGGCTACTCTACTCTTTCAATAATTTACTAAATTTTGTAAGATCAGTTTGGTTGCAAATGCAATACTGGTTGGTATAAGTTTTAACATAAATTTACCTACATAGGTTTTTTTTTTTTTAGTTTTTAGTCTATACCCAGCCAGTAGTAAGGAAGGAGACTTAATCGCTTTTCATCTAAACAATAAGTATTAAAGGCACAAACAGACGTGGATTGACGTTAGTTTAAGTATCATTCGAAGATTATAGATTCAGCTCAAGGGGTTTAAGGGTTGAATATGATACAAAAGCTTTAAAAAAACCTTTTTATTATTAAAATATCACACTACATATGAATAAAACTAATTTTACTTCAAACCTACTTTTAAAAAGTACACAGTTTGAAACGTAAATGCAAAAATCAGTAAACAAACACTTTGAAAAAGAATATAACAAAAATTTTTCAACTAGATTTGTTGGTCCCACAAACCCAAATTTGACAAACACAAGAGTACTACTTTAGAGCCGTAAAAGAATAATAGCTAATATATAATACTGTTACTATAAAATAAACACTGTCTGAACAGTGGAAAATAACACTGAGCTTGGTCGTCCTTTTCTCTTTGGCATCAAAACATAACAAAGGTTCCAAAACTTAGTAAACATGAAACATTTATTATTTACAGTATTTATTTGCCATTTTATAACTAAAACCTACAAAGCTATAGGAGTTGAGAAAAAAGTTCTTAAATTATGACCAGTCTTATGTCATCTATTAAAAATAAGAGACGCCAAAAATCCGCAGGGATTTTAAGGCAATATTTCAAGGAAAGGTGACATTAGATGATCAGCATTTTTTTTACCTTTTCAACGCATACAAATTTTATTAAGAATTTTGAAATGTTCCATCTAGCATCGAGGTATAACGTTTTTCTACAGCTAAAATAAAGAGGTCCGCCTAAGAGCATAAAACCAAAGGTGAATTTAAAACCAAACAAAAGACCACAAGGCGTAAGTAGCCAATTATGAGAGTAGGTCATGGATAGACGGAGGATAATTTGAGTTTGAGATTTAGAGCCCGCAACAGCCAATATATAACTAGTAATCGGCTAGTGGCGCCGACCACTGACTCTATTGGTCTGGTCGAGTAAATACTGCAATACAGATAAACAGCCAATAATTAATTATATACCGGGTGCAACAAAGATATAAGGAAGGTTAACGAGTGTGAAAGCTGCTATTTAAGTTGCAATTTTTGTTGATTCCACAGTAAAGTAGCCTAATATGTTTTGTGTAATACAGTATAATATAATAATAATATAATGAATAAAAATACTAACTGAAAAATGTCATATATGTTTATTTAACTAGCTTACAATCAACAGGTATCAATTTCAATTTCCAGAAATGCCTAAGAGCGGCTTGGTAAAATTAACACCAAAATATAGATCAGTTAAATAACAAACACACAAACAAACAATGAAAATTATTATTATCTAAATCCTCACATTGCACTGTACTTACAGAAACAATTTCCTAAAGCTTTCTGGCCCATAGATTATTATCATGATGACTTTATTTATCACAATACAACTTTGGTCGGGGACTGAGTGATTCCTGAACGGTAAGACTCCACAGCCGGAGAACGATTCTTGATAGAGAACACTGAACCCTTATTCATCATCACCGTCTCACATTTCTCATACTCTTCTTCCATACTTGACAAATCCTTGTTGGCGTCTACAATTACCACCTAGAGAAACAAAGTTTGATCAGTAAATTGACCTTCTAAATATAGAAATGTTGGTATTTGTTGGTGGATCCAAAACCCTTCTAGGGTATAAATGGCCATGGGAGTAAGTAAATATAGAAAAAATCATAATAGGCCTTCATACCTAATAGTTTACAAAAAGATCTGCTAAATTATCCTCATTAAACAATGTTGAATTAGCTTTTAATGCTCTCGTAGTCATTTCAGATCAATGTTTAATTTGCTCCATCACATAATAAAGTTTTTCTTCATACAAAGTAACACAACACAACAGAATGTTAACGTTATCTTATTGTGAACAAATACTGTTGTCTGTCACTGTCGTTTACTGTTTTGGTTGTTCGGTTGTTTTGTTTGTTGTTGTGATGGCCGTTTTGGTTTGCCTATAATGCTCACAAGCATCATAGATAGAAGGGGATGTAAGAGGGATAATGGAGAATAAGAAGACGTGATCATAGCTCCTGCCTGGTACAGATAAAATTTATAAGCTGGCACTAGGAAGAAATTGTCAATTTAGTCGTCTAGAAAACATCAGGTTACCCCCGTGGTCACCCCTGATCAGGGCCATAAATCGCATACCAACCCTTAGAAAATCCTATTAGCACGCTTCAGACAACATTGTACAGTGTTCTGATTAAATGAAAAAGAATATAACAATAATTTCTGTTCTTGTCCCATTTCAGCACTGGATTCATGGTAATAATCAGATTGCTTCAATGGTTTTTAAAGATTCCTTATCCAACAAAATTCTATAAATAAATCTATTTTTCCATTAACTTATTATATGACAAATAATGAGGACTAATTTCTTTAGGAAGAACAAAGTCGTAAGTAATCTTTAACAACTTTTAATAAAGCACTAACTCGTCTCCAAGCTAACAATGTTGTAATCCTGATCAATAACACTTACTGGGGCAGGGCATGAAAATGCAGTTTTCTTCACCAGCCAATTCTCATGCATCTGGTGCAACTGTTGAAGATATTCCAGCGGAACTTGAGCCTCTTCTGAGCGAGCTCGAGCCTTTATCCGACGATGTACAACCTCTGGATCTGTCCTTAAATAGACTACCAACCAAATTAAACAAATTAGCAATCTCAAGAAATTGTTGCTTAACAGTCAGGATTGCTTCCAATGTACAAAAATATCCTGGTGAATTTGTTATTTGTTTGTTTTTGTTTTTGTTTGCTGTTTAATTTATTTACCCATCTCTCAAGCCAATGCACGTTTCTTTTGAAAGGCCTTAATTTATTAAGTTAAGCCAATTAAGTCCTAACATAATCAAATAGGCCTAAGCATAAAATATTAGGCAATTACTTTTAATAGCCAAAATAGTGAAGTAGGCTATTTTAAAGTCATAATATATCTACATCATTTTCAAAACAAACCAATAAGAACTGAATGGTTATAACATGGTAATTTCTGCTTATTAGCTCCTTCAATTAAAATTGCATATATTCTCACCGATAAGATCTCCACTGGTGTCCATATTTTTTACAATCCACTGGAACCATTCGTCGAGCACTGCATAGTCTGGGGAAGCCAATACTTTATTTCTATGTAGATTTTCAATAAAACAATACCTGTAAATGAATTAGCAGAGCTACAGAGTTTTGAGGTAAAATATTCATGACTATTACCTAGACAAACCAATAGGCCTTAGTCTTGTTTTTTGGAATCTAAGTTTTCATCATTTACTAAGGCAGCATATATTTAATTGTTGATGGACTGGCTGCTTTGAATTTATAGCTGTGTAGCTGTAATTTATCTTAGGGCTTTTAATAAATGGTCATAGTCAGTAGCCTAAAAAAATACACAAACCATCTCACTCCATTCTTTACTCACATTTTGGTTAAAAAATTCACTTAAGCGGCTCCATCTCAATTGATAATGATTTTTAGGATGATTTAGCCAACAGCATTGTGTGTAAATAAATGATAAAGCCTGTCTTTTAAGCCTATTTTATGAGTTAAATGGGAGCATTTATGCACCGCAATAGCAACAAAGTGTCACGTTTGGGCGATCTCTAAATACCCGTGACAGGTTTGAAAATTGTAGCTGCGAAAAATTTGTCGTGCGTGGCTCAATGACTACGTTTACCAATTGAGTACATTAATTGTCAAATGAGTACGTTTATGCACCGCAACAGTTGCGACGCGATAGCAGTATTTTTCAGTGGTATATTCTCCATATACTGTATTTCACATACAGGGAGTATATAAAGTCCCGCACGGGCTTAATATTTTCTAAACGACAACAGATAAATCAATAAGATTTGGTACATCAACACCACACCTAAAAATCTACTTTTTCAAGGAACTATCAATTTTCTGTCATATCATGGGGACGTCCCTCAAGGAGTCAGAAGGAAATCTTAAATAGAAGCATAGGTTGGCATGTACATCAAATTAAAGGTCTTTACTAGCAGAATATAATGCCGCAAATTTGAACTCAAACGGACAACCGAGCCAATAATGACAGTTGTTCAAAGATTAATTTAATTTGCATTGCTATTATACGCTTACTCCTCAGGGGGCACAGCCCTAGGAATCGGAAAAAAATTGTTAACGTAAGCATAGGTCGATATGCAAATCAAATTAAAGGTCTTCACTAGTAGATTACAATGCCGTAAATTCAAGCTCAAAAGAACGCCTGAGTAAAAAATGGCAGTCGTTCAAAGATTCAAAATGGCGGATTCAAGAAATCTTTGAACGGCCGCCATTTTGCGCAGGATCAACCTTTTGAAGTGCGGTTTGCGGCATTGTATTCTACTAAAAAGGACCTTTCATTTGATGTGCATATTGACCTATGCTCCTATTTAAGATTTCCTTCTGACTCCTTGCGGGACGTCCCCATGATATGACAGAAAATTCATAGTTCCTTGAAAAAGTAGATTTTTAGGTGTGGTGTTGATGTACCAAATCTTATTGATTTATTTGTTGTCGTTTAGAAAATATTAAGCACGTGTGGGACTTTATATACACCCTGTATATTGATTTGTATTAATAATTTATATATAAAAAATAAAATAAGTTCTTTGTTCTTTATCTTCAAAATAAATTAGGCTATGTCATGATTCGTCTGCAATGACATTTTCAAGTGAATTAACCCAATTCAAGCTGTAAATTTTATGTTTTGTATGAACAAATAAATAAAGCATTGTCTGCTTTGCTTTCAATTCTTTAAAAAGTGTGTAAAACACTCCTCTCACGATCAAAATCTATTTATTGGGTGAACCGCCCAAAACCTTTATTACTCGACTCGGTTTTTGGTCGCTAACACGTGCAACACTTCAGGGTCCATATTTACTACTCAGACATCACTCCTACAGTACAAAATTCCCGTGTAGTGAAAAAAACATGTGTTTTCAATTCTTTATTATTGTTTTGTTGTGTTTGTAAACAAGTCCATTATAATTCAATGTAGTATTGTTCAAGTTATTAAAAACCTTTCTAAAGGTAATAAAAGTTCTTTTTCATTCATTCTTACTCTCATTACAATTTTAATAACTTGATATTGTGAAATGGATACGATTCTAAAGCCAGACAAGTTTAGTATAGATCCAAACTCATCATCTGCAAGTAAGGAATGGACACATTGGCACAAAACATTTCAGAATTTTGTTACCAGCATCACACCACAACCATCCGACTCCGATAAACTCAAAATACTTATAAACTTTATTACTGCGGAAATCAACGAGTACATAAGTGAAAGCGGTACGTATAACGATGCTATATCTGTGCTAAGAAGTATCTATGTAAAACCTGTAAATGAAGTATATTCCAGACATAAACTATCTGCACGTCAGCAGCAACCTGAGGAGACTATTGACCAATATCTACAGGCTTTAAAATTACTAAGTAAAGACTGTCAGTTTAAAGCTGTGACAGCTGAAAAGAATAGGGATGATTATATCCGTGACACATTTATTGCTGGAATAAAATCTTCTGCAATTCGCCAGCGCTTACTAGAAAATGTTTCGTTGACACTAGATCAGGCATATAGTCAAGCCAGATCCCTAGAACTTGCACATGAACAATCATTATCTTTTCAATCTTTCCAATCTATAGTAAATGCAACTTCGTCCCAAGAAACTCAAGCGAGCAATCAGAATGTTGATGCAACTTCAAGCAGTTTAGAAAAGTGTTCTCTAGCTGCTGTGACTGAAAAATGTTTCTTTTGCGGTAATCTAAGACATCCTAGGGTCAAATGTCCAGCTAAAAATCCTACAATTTGTCATAACTGTGGTAAACAGGGGCATTTTGCTAAGGTCTGCAGGGCAGGTAAACTACAAACCAAGCAATTGGATAAATCTAAAGAAGTAATGAACTCTATTGACCTAGCAGCTTCGCCCGGTGGGTTAACAAAGAGTACAGTACAAGCCCTAGTTAATGGTAAATCTGTCTCTGCTTTGATAGATACGGGAAGCTCTCTAAGTTTTATAAACAAATCTACTGCTCTTAATTTAGGTATTCCTATAAAACCAGGTAAGGGTACTGTCTCAATGGCTACTACATCAATCACATCCGACATAACGGGTCAATGCAAAGTAAATCTTGTCATTCTTGATCACTTTTACAAGCAAGTTAATCTTTCATTGTTACCAGATCTTTGTGCAGATATAATTGTTGGACATGATATTTTGAAAAACCATGCAAGTATTAAAGTAGTCTTTGGTGGCAACAAGTCACAACTAACCGTATGTAGCGTGGCAGCCTCAACTGTAGAACCGGTATCTTTGTTTTCTAATTTAAAACCGGAATGTAAGCCAATCGCAATCAAGTATCATCGCCATAGCACCGATGATTTAAAGTTTATTGAAAACGAAGTAAGTAAATTGCTTAAAGACGATGTAATAGAACCTAGTATGTCTCCATGGAGGGCTCAAGCATTAGTAGTTACTACTGAAAATCATAGAAAAAGAATGGTCATTGACTACTCCAGGACTATAAATCGTTTTACATTACTGGACGCTTACCCACTACCTAGAATCGATGATATCGTTAACAAAGTTGCAAATTATGAGTTTTTCAGTACTATCGACTTGAAAAGTGCGTACCACCAAGTAAAGATAAGAAATGAAGAAAAGCACTACACAGCTTTTGAGGCCTGTGGTCAACTCTACCAGTTTAAGCGTATCCCGTTTGGGGTCACTAATGGGGTGGCAGCATTCCAACGTGTAATTGACCAAGTCATCCAAACAGAACAGTTACAAGACACTTACGCCTATCTTGATGATGTCACAATCTGTGGAAAAACACAAGAACAACACGATATAAACTTAAAAAAGTTTATCGAAGCTGCATCCAAATACAACCTAACTATTAATAATGAGAAGTCTTCATTTTCACTGCGATCGATCAACTTGTTGGGCTATCATATATCAAACAAAACTATCAAGCCTGACCCCAGTCGACTAGATCCTTTGAAAAATTTACCTCCACCCAGAGACACCGCATCACTGAGGAGGACCCTTGGTATGTTTTCACATTATGCATCACTTATACCAGATTATGCTACCAAAGTGATTCCACTTGCGCGTACTACATTCCCTTTGTCCAAAGCAGGGCTCCAGTCTTTCGAAACTATAAAAAGTGAAATCATCGGATCTGTAGTAAGCTGCATTGACCCTGAAGCACAGTTCATCGTAGAAACTAATGCATCTGAGAGTACCATTGCTGCTACTTTGACTCAATCGAACCGTCCAGTCGCATTCTTCTCAAGGATACTTTCTCCAGCAGAACAAAGACATTCAAGTGTTGAAAAAGAAGCACAAACTATTGTGGAAGCACTGCGGAAATGGCGTCACTATTTGGTTGGTAAACATTTCAAGCTGATTACTGACCAGAGGTCGGTTTCTTTTATGTTTGATAACAACCGTCATGGCAAAGTGAAAAATGAAAAGATAATGAGGTGGAAACTGGAATTGTCGTGCTTTCATTATGATATTGTATATAGACCCGGTAAAGATAATATGGCTGCAGATGCCCTGACTAGAGTATGTTCTTCAATCCAAAATCAAGAAAAACTGTTGATTGATTTACATGCGAATCTATGTCATCCAGGTGTGACACGTTTGTACCACTGGGTTCGAAGTAAAAACTTGCCCTACTCGATTGATGAAATCAGACGAATAACAAACTCCTGCAATGTGTGTGCTGCTGTGAAGCCTAGATTCTTCAAACACAAAGGGATTTTGATTAAAGCCACTTCTGCATTTGAACGGCTGAATATCGATTTCAAAGGCCCGCTACCTTCATCAAGTCGAAACCGTTACTTATTAGTAATAGTAGACGAGTTTTCACGGTTCCCTTTCGCTTTCCCTTGTTCAGACATGTCATCGTCAACAGTTAAGTCGAAACTAAAAACATTGTTTTCTACTTTTGGGGTTCCTAGTTACATACATTCGGACAGAGGAACATCATTTTTGAGCCAAGACTTAAAAAGCTACTTGAACTCACTTGGAATCTCAACTAGTAGAACCACTGCGTACAATCCAGCAGGTAATGGGCAAGTAGAAAGGTATAACGGCATTCTATGGAAAACAATTGAACTGGCGTTGAAATCACTTAACTTAGAAATAAACCAATGGGAGACAGTTTTAGAGGATGCCCTCAGCTCAGTGACTTCATTACTTTGCACAGCCACAAATCAAACTCCTCACGAGCGTATGTTCTTACATCCACGTAGATCTGGGAACAATGGTGTTTCAGCTCCTTCATGGCTTCTCAATTCCGGCCCTGTCTACTTGAAGAGATTCAATCGTACGTCCAAGTATGAGCCACTTGTTGAAGAGGTCCAACTTCTTCACGGGAATGCCGAGTATGCTCATGTTAAGTTGCCTGACGGAAGAGAAACTACCGTGTCTACACGTCATCTTGCTCCGGTTGGTGAGTACCAAACCGACATAGAGCAAACCGATTTTGAGAGTGATGAAAATATTCTATTACCCACTTCTCAACCCGAACCTGAATACTTTCCTAGTCCATCATCAACACAGAACCAAGAAGATGAAATGAATACTACTGCCGAGAATTTACAACCTAGACAAGAAGCTTCTAGAGGAGAGAACCATAATACATATCCGAGAAGAAGTTTCAGAAGCAGAAGACCTCCTAATTATTTAAATGACTACGTTCATTAACATTAGGGAGGAAGAATGTAGTGAAAAAAACATGTGTTTTCAATTCTTTATTATTGTTTTGTTGTGTTTGTAAACAAGTCCATTATAATTCAATGTAGTATTGTTCAAGTTATTAAAAACCTTTCTAAAGGTAATAAAAGTTCTTTTTCATTCATTCTTACTCTCATTACACCCCGCCTGGTGGTAACTCGCGTTGTGGTTTTTATTGGCAAGTTGTCGTGTAACTCACCGTGTTTTAGGCACTCTGGGCTTAACTATTGGATAGTTAGGACAAAGCCCGAGTTGCGTAGTCAGCAACGACCCCCTAGGAGAGTGGAGAATCGGCGTAGGCCTGGTAGTGATTATTGCACGTTTGTTTTGGTGACTTGTTTTTTACTTGTTCACAGTGCCCGTGTATGAGCCAGTCCTATACCGGTTAGACCCGGCTATTGGCCTAGTGGTTTCCCTGACCTTATCGCAGACCCTGGAACTTTACCCAGCCATTGTAGGCTGAGCTATCCCCCGGCAAACGGTTGCGACTGCCCTTACTTTTAATATTTTTTCCAGTGCATTGTAGGTAGCGTCGCAAGTTACAAGGATTACCAACAGGGTGCAGCACCATTATTTCTTTTACATTTATGACAACAGCTAATTTGCAACCAAAAGGTGAGTGAGCGTAGCGAACGAACTTCAACCTGGAGGCGAGTTAGTGTAACGAACGAGCTAACCTGAAGGCAAGTGAGCCCAGCGAACGAGCTAACCTGAAGGCAAGTGAGCGCAGCGAACGAGCTCCAACTTAAAGGTGAGTGAGCGTAGCGAACGAGCTCCAACCTAAAGGTGAGTGAGCGTAGTGAACGAGCTCCAACCTAAAGGTGAGTGAGCGTAACGAACAAACTTCAACCAGGACGTGATTGAGCCATGCGAACGAGATAATCTTGATAATTAAGAAGTTAAACGGGGCAAAGCCCGCGGGTTACAGCTAGTAGGCTATACTTGGTAGATTAGATGTAGATAGATCTTAGATTGGGATCTACTGATCGCAGAATGATACTGAATACAATCTCCAGTCTAAATGGACACTTTGACAGCTGACCATAACGTCCACGGCAACTATCTTCATCAATCAATGATAATGAATCGTTCTCATCACACCTTCTCAATTCTTATTCTATGTGAGGCCAAAGACAAAATTTTATTCAAACAATCACAATGGTATGGTTCTTTAGAAGATAGGCTAAGTTATAGTTTATTTTGTAAGATAAGACAATATCAACTACAGTAACTTACAGGTACGCTAGCTCATTTAAGATTTGCTCTGTCCTTAACTCAAAGATCAGTACCTTACAAAATATGCACATCAAAGCATACATAGCTAAGCATACAGGGTCATACAACGTAGGATAGCATAGGCCACATACCTTGCACTGTATAAGGATCTTTCCATCATCTTGATAGGTTTACTGGTGTTTTGCAGGTGTAGATCAAGCATTGTCTTTTGTACAATACTCTGAAAAGCTAAACTCCACCTAGCTTGGTCTTTATACATCAACTCCTGGATGAAATATTAATTTATATTATGTGTAAAAACTTACTGTAAATATGTCAGTTTCCAACTGAGATAGCCTAAGTTAATCATTTGTGAAATGTTGTGGGCTTCGCCTTTTTTATGCCTGGCAATATGAAGAACTTGTCATACACAATTAAAACACACGCACATACATGCATCACATCTATCGTCCTGGATAATTCAAGTCCGGTGTTTTGTGGGAAAAACGTTATGCTAAGGAAAAACCTTTCATAGTTTTAAATAGTATATTACGTTACTAGCCCTGAAAATAGGTGTTTACCGGGCGAGTGTGGTCGTTCCCGGCAAGACAAAGTCGAGCGCAGGATTACCATACGAGTCTGGTAAACACATTTCGGACGAGTGACGTAAGATATTTTACGCAATACAACTCTAAGCTGACTTAACGATAAAAAAATCCGTACAAATCATTATATATTCCTACCAACTAGAGGACTAACAATAACTATAGTCCTCGCCACCCTAAGTTGAGGCAGCCCAAGGCCACACGGCGTATATCTAGTGCGGCCTTTGGCTGCCTCAACTTAGGGTGGCGAGGACTAAACTCATGGAGGTTATGTTTTTGTTTTAAACACTGTCAAACATTGTTGTTATCCCTCATTGTCAAACATTATAAGCTGATTGGTGTCCACCCGGTAAACTTATTTTCATCCCACATCTGAGTCAAACACCTAGCCAAGGTGTAGGACACAACTGGTCCCTGGATGATTGCATGGGATGTGTGTATCACCAGACAAAAATAATGGCGAGTGAAGCCCAAAAAATTTCACAAAACACAGTAAAGTTCTGCAGAGAGCCTACGATGTTATCAGGCATATCATATGAAATATGAATTGCATAATAAGTTGTATTGCACATATGCAGTGCAGTAAAATTCAAGTGATAAAAATATCGACTTTTAATCTATTGCAAATAGGCCTAAGTTATTTATATTTTAAGCCATAGGGTTTTTTGAACTCTAACTTAACTTATCACTGTGCTGTGGTGGCTAGGTTATTTGTATTTTAGTTCAGCTTAACTTAGTTTCCCATCCATGTCAATGGAGACTACAATTTGTTTTCGTGTTTCCTTTTATCATGAGTTTAGAAAAGGTACCTAAATTTTTTTCAAATGGTAGGCCTACCTACCATGTTTGTGATTATCATGAACTAAATTAACCTCGCCATATTCTAAACCCTTAGCACACTGTAAAAGAGTATTATCTGTGCAGTTTCTCATCTGAGCTACCATACCCAATATAGGCTAGATTGAAACTGTTGTATCCTAACTTATTCAATTATCATATGATTTTAACTGAACCTAGAAACATTAGCCTATAATTTAAAATTTCCTAGGCTTATTGGATGTTTCCAATATGTTGGCCAATATAATGATATCACAACGTTTAATTTAGGCCTAACTTCATCCGATAAAATATCAAAGGTTCTCTGCAGAAGTGTACCCCTAACGAACAAATGTGGACAACAGAAAAAGGCAAAAGACTATGTTATGTTGCTAGATGAAAAACTTTCTCATTGTAAGCCTTAGTAAACTGTAAACAGAAATCAGTCATTACGGAGACATCAAAGGCTGAAAATGTTCATCAAAGGACGCCTGATATTCTATGATTAGGTCTAGCTTTAATAAATAAATAATCCTGGCCAATGATATAGCTTTTAGTCAGTAACAAAGCTACACCCCATGCCCATAACTTACATTAGAAACCGTGTAGCCTAGACAGGCTAGGCTAGGCCTAAGTTTAGTTTTGGTTCAGATTAGCCCTAAGGGATGTAAAAAATTCCATTCTTAAATTTCATGGATTGGACACTTATTTTTTTAACTATAAATAAGGATGAAAGTAGCCTAACTGCTATAATACAAACCAGCATGTTATGTCCCCTGACGTTTCTCCAGAATTCAACAGGCTCAGACAATATCATAGCATCATACTTGGAAAAATGGTTTAGGAATGTTGTTTTGCCACTTCCAATGTTGCCCTCGACAAATATTGTAAATGGTCTTGGAGACTTTGAAACTGGTTTTATATCCATTTCCAACAATGAGTTCAAATTCTTGTTGGTAAAGGATGATATGTTTTTAGATGATTTTAATTGTGGCACCGGTAAGACTAACAAGTTTCTCAACACTTTGCGCGCCAAACTAAAAAACATGTCAATTTTTCATTGGTTAATTATGATTTTGGCGGGTTACAAGTGACTATGTCCTTGATAATGCTCAAAACAAAACTGTTGTTAGACTATAATGATTACTTATTCACCAGTCACAACTCAAATCTAGAGAAGACAATAATAAAGAAAGGGATGAAAACAGCCTTTTGTTTATAAACAAACACGATTGGGTTCGGTTCAGATTGCGTGATATTTGACAGAACATATGATTTTATGAAACATCTGTCCGTAAAAAACATATGACTTGACTATAGAAAAACTACATGGTGGAAGGAAAAACGCCATGGAAAAACTAGACAGTAGAAGACCAAGAAGACTATACTTTTCTGTATGCACAATTTGTTTTTCAGGATTAATGTTGCCAACGTGTAATTTAGAGGCTTCTAACCAAACCAACCAAACGTGCTGACAATGAAAAAATCTAATGAAGGTTTATTAATCGAAAAAATAGTTCTGTTCATAAAATAAAATTATAAATGCCTCAAATCCTATTTTATAATTTTTTTATTATAAAATTAAACTATCATAACCTAACCAAACTAACCAGACTTGCTAATAATGAAAAATACCCCCGCCGCAGCAAACCTGCAGACTAAGCGAATTTCCATTTGACTGATTGGATTTACACTGAAATGTCTACTTAAAAATATAACATTTATTCCCGATTTAAATAGAATTAGTTTAACAAGTACTTAGGTTTGCTGCATCAGGGAGGGTAATTTTTTTTTTTTGTAAAATGTTAATAGTTAGTAAGAAATAAAAACATTTTCCAAATTTGATCAAAATATGTTCATAAACAAGCAAACTACAACAGTTTACTTATTCTCCATAAAAATAACATGGGAATTTTAAATTTACAATTTTTTGGAATTTTCTCTGTAACCGTTAGGCGCATAATAACGCTTCAATATACTAAATTATTTGTTTTTTTAAGCTCTACAAAATGGTTTGGAAATAAATTGCAAAATTTTAAGTTTTTTGGGTCAAAAATGGGAAAAACCTATTTTTACCCCATAAAACCCCCCGTAAACACCCGTTCCCATGGTCCGATCATGCTGGATCGCGAACTCGTTCGAATAAACGTAGGTTTACACGTTTGTACCAAATTTCATCAAAATCGGATCATTTTTGCTTGAGTTATCGTGCTGACGGACATATATATATATATATATATATATATATATATATATATATATAAATATATAAATATATAAATATATAAATATATAAATATATATATATATATATGAATTTGAACGGATGGTGTTTTTGGCCTCTAGGGACCTCAAAACGAAAAAAAAATTGGTCCCGCGTCCAGGTCTTACCATGAGTACTACGGTAATAGCTTATTCCCTATATGGGAAATTCGCTAAAATCAAATGAAGGTTAACCGAAAAAATATTTCTGTTCATAAAATAAAACTATAAATGGGTCAAATTCAATTTCATAATGTTTTAATTATAAAATTAAACCGTCATAACCTAACCAAACCAACCAAACTTGTTGATAATTTAAAAAATCCAATACAAAAAAATTGTGCTACGGATGGGATTCGAACCCGGGACCTTCGGTTCATCAGCCCAGCACTCTATCCACTACACCACCGAGGACATCCGTTTCAATCGCGGATTACTCCTCTCCAATGCGCATGCGCAAAGAAACTGCTCCATGGGTCTATGGGAGCTGTGACAAGTGGTGACACGCGTTCGATTACGATGGAAGGAACGGATACTGCAACCGGTTAACCTCACTTTGTTCTCAAACAAAGCCAACGCCAACGCCAACTCACTAACAAACTCACTCAACTAATAGGGTTTACCTTAGATCCTAGTCATAGTCAAATTTCTTTATTTATCTTGTATATACATACATAAATAGTGTCACAGTAAAGTAAAATAATTATAAACTAAATCAAATGTCTCTCAAAGCTATTTAAAAATTAATTGAAATAATCCATTAATCAACTTACTAGATTTAACTTACTGAAAAAATAACAATACTTAAAAATTGGTATATGCTAAGTTAAATTACATGAAGTATATACATTTACATATATACCTCTGAACATCTCAAATAATTAACTAGAATCGAAAAATTCTTCCTTTGAATAACAGCTTTTTTTTAACAAATAATTTTTAACCAGATGCTTAAATTTGTTGTTATTAATTTTGCTTTTTAAATTTTCAGGTACTAAATGATTTAAACATTTAGAGCCAAAATGAGTCGCTTTTTTATTAAAAAAACTAAGCCTATGTTGGGTTAAGTTTAAATTGTTCTTATGTCTAGTATTATGAGAATGTATACTACTGCGCAGATCTAATTCATTATATTTATTTCTAACACACATTATACATTCAAGGATATATTGGTCATAAACTGTCAAAATATTAAGCTCAGAAAATTTATTTTTCACTGATACTTCGTCTTCTAGATTTAATATAATTCTCAAAGCTTCCTTCTGAAATATCAAGATTGTATCTAAGTTGCCTTTTACTCGTACCACCATAAACAACTACACCATAAGATATATGTGAGAGTGGATATGTGCGAAATAAATAGTTTTTAAAGTGTCAAGACTACATAACAAAGACATTTTTCTAAGAACATATATACCCGTTGCAATTTTGTTAGCCAATTTTAGTGTATGTTGGTCCCAACTAAGATTATTGTCAACTTCAACTCCTAAAAATCTGGTAATTTTAATTGATTCTATTTTAGTTCCCCCATTAAAATATCTATTTCTCGAGCATTTTTATTTTGTTTTGTAGAAAAAGTCATTTGATTAGTTTTATTGCCGTTAAGAAATAAATTATTTTGTATAAAAAATTTTTCAATAATTTTTAATTGATCTTGACATGCTTTTTCAAGGTCAAGGTAAGATTTAACAGTGGTTATCAAGTTTGCATCATCAGCATAAAGTACTAACTGACTTTCTGTTCCTAAAATATTTTTTAAAATTGAAGGCATTCCTTGGACATAACACAAAAATAATAAAGGCCCCAGAATGGAGCCTTGAGGAACTCCATGTTTAATAGTTAAGTTTCCTATAAACTAGGATACCGTAATGTGGAATTTAAATTATTCTTATCCTTGGTTGTAAAATGTCAATACATTTTTATTTCTACTTTTAACCTGACCAACCCATATTTAGTACATTAAGATGATGACACAGGTAAGATAATTGAATAATCCAATCCAATTCCACTTGCGGCCATTTGGATACATAAGAAGTTAACTTAGATGCAGTCGCAGTCAAATGGTAAACATATATACGTATATGTATTTTCTGAAATTAACATTAACAGCTAGACTGAAACCGTCCATTAGGTCAGACCAACTTCATCTCTGTGTTACAAATTTACAAAAGGAACCTAACTTCTCACATTCCTTTTATTATTCCAAAAGCTTTATACCATAATCACTACATTTGAAAAACAAGAGTTTAATTTACTTTATGACGGCCTGACCCGAGCATACAGTGGGAAGCGATCAAGTGCTTAGTTTCAGCACGAAATATAAAATAAGTATCAATAATTTGTAAATATTTAACTGGCATAACTTAACTTACATAACATTATAGTTTAGATATTTTGAGATAGGTCTAGGCTAGTTTAGTATACGCCTATTAATCTATTAAAATTCAAGTTTAATTTACAAATTATGTTTAGCTTTAAAGTATTTTACTTTCAAGTTTTTATTGAGACCTAGATCCATAATTTTTAATTGTGATATAGCCGACTCAGAACATGGTGTGGTGATCTAAAATGCAGTAAAGATTCTTTCAAACCAAAAGGCAGCAATTTAGGATAGTAAGTCAATATTATAATTACCGATATTGAGATTTTAGAGGAGGGAAGTCAAAAGGGTGCATATATAAGAAAAGGTAAAATTAATTCATTGGGCAACTCGTGCCTACTTTTTCTACCCTTTTTTATTACCTTCTAATAAGTGCAATAACAACGTATTATCATTGTTTTATGCATAAAAACGACATTATTAGTTATATGAGTATCGTGTATACGACGGTATATTATCATAAACACCGTCTGTGAAGCCCCAGTAATTAATTGTGAAGTGATTTGCACATGAGATCCATGAGATCCTAAAATAATAAACCAACAGATGAGCAAGAGCCAGAAAGTAGACTAAAGTAAACACAAAGCGCAGACTAGTTGGTAAAAGTAACAACCTGTCCTGTGTGTGCTATATTCAATTCATTGTACCCGTTGTAGCAGATAAATCTGATATCTTATATGTGTCACAGTTTCACGGAACGGTTTACTCGCGCATGCGCATTATGAGAGGAGTAATCCGCGATTGAAACGGATGTCACCGAGGCCGTTGCCATGTTCCCTCAGCCAATCAGAAGCTTCAAAATAATACTGGAGGCAACACTAATCCTGAAATAAAAATTCAGCGTATAGCATGGTTTTGTCAAACATACATATACTGACATGTGACGACTACCATCTTTAACATCTTTAACTCAACCGCGGCCTTTGAATTGTAAAAATGTAATCAGAGAAGTTGAAATTCGCTTAGTCTGCAGGTTTGTTGCGGCGGGGGGTATTTATTTATTTCATATCATCTCATTCTGTTCTGTATTCTGATTTCTGAGATGAGATTCCATATTCCATGCTGATTGCTGAGCGGCCGAGCTGAGATCGGGCGATCGTGTCGGGATTCGGTTCGGTTCGGGAATGGATACAGTTTAGTTTACAGAAATTTTGTCAACTGATCGAGGATCAAGTCAAGCCGCCGTCGTGAAGTTAGCGGCTCTTTTCATCGGCGCTTTTTCGGTTTGTAATAGATGTGGGTTGGTACGCCTGCGGACGCCACAAACGTGTTTTGCAGGGATGTCGGAAACACAATTCAATGACAATACGGTGCGAAATGATGTTTTTATATTTATATAATGTCATTATACATTGATAAAACGTGTATACAAGTTAAAACTAATTAATTGACGTATTTTAAAAGGCATATTTGAGACCGTAGTGTACATTATACGTAGCTATGGCTTAACATAACGCGATCAATTAAAACTCCGAACATAAAAAGTGCATAATCTTTTTTCCCAAGCCCATCACATCAACTTTGAGCTATTCTAAAGGTAATATACAATGTGTAGAATACTCAGTATAAATA